GAAATAGCTTTCATAACACCACTGACATTTTAAATCTCTTCCTGGGTAATTTAGGAAAGAGTATCAGAACTGCAAGCAGGTCCCTCCCGTCCCCAAGCAGCCGCGGGACTCACCATCTTCAAAATCGCCCCATACAACCGCAGGAGCACCTTCCGAGGCTCGTCACCAACGGTGGCCAGAGTGTCGGGTAGGGAGCACTGGAACAGCATGTTGCTGAGGCCACCTCTGTCGGAAACAAGAGGATGGTGAGTATCTATTTTGAAAGCAAACTGAATCATTCTTCTTGGACAACTGCGGATGAGAAGTCAGGATCCAGCCCCCAAGAACCGTTCTAAATGTTCACTTCACCTCTCAGGACGCTTGCAACATAAACGATTAACCCTGTGGTTTTCAGATCAATTCCACGAGTCACATTAAAATCAGGCAGATTCCCAATCTGTTCTTCTAGAGCAGCGTTAGGGAAGTTTTTTGTTGTTGTTATTGTTGCATGTGTACACCTGCCTGGGATAATAACAAGGAGTGAGGACCCTCTTCAGCTCTGGGAATGCGGGAAATCCCAGACGCATTCCTTCCAGCCCACACTCATCTCTGATGCAAAAGTTCCATCACATTCCTAGCATACCAGGTTATAATCTTGGAGTAAGACTTAAACCATCCCCTCTAGGACTTTTCAATTGAATTATGATTGCAAGGTCCACCCCTCCTCAACCAGTTTGGACAAATGGCATTTTCAAAAAGCCTGCAACATGAACTGGTCAATTTTATTGGAGCTTTCAAAGGAAATGGGACACCTCAACACTCTACACCTTCCACTCTGACTACCAAAGATAAGGAAGCTAGGGTAACACAAAACTGAAATATGCTCTGCTCCTTGCCCTTAAGAAACTTCTACTCTAATGAAGAAAGCAGACATAAAACTCCACGACAGAATTCAAAAGCATGGGACAGTGTCTGGACTAGATGCTTCAACAATGTCGGGTTCATCAGTATCACATGGCAGTGGGGGCAGGTGCAGCTCAGTGGTAGAGCACAAGCTTAGCATGCCCGGGGTCCTGGATTCAATGCTCAGAACTCCCAATAAAAAATAAATAAATAAACCTAATTACCTCCCCCTCCTCAAAAAATTTTAAAAGGAATAACTACAAACAATAAAGTTCTATACAGTTCTTACGAAAAAAAATATCACACAGCAGTATACACACAACTTTTGGAGAAAAAGCTATCAGCAAACTGAAGCACAGCTTTCTAGAATGATGTCCCTCAGTCACAGGAGCCACCAGCCTCTTTCCCTGTTCCACCCATGAAAAGTCTTGTGAAGCTGTGCTCCCCAAACTGAGGCTGAAACACGAAGCTAAATTCCATTATCACATGCCCAACCACACGGAGGGTATAGTATAGCCCACGTTGACCAGCACGGCCAAGAACCAGACCAAGTGAAAGAGCTCAGTTTGTGTGAAGAAGAAAGATAACAGGGAGAACATTTATCTGGAGGTTGTTACTGTTGCTGTATTAACGTTGGCACAAACATTTTCAAAGTTCTGCTCCTCATTCGCCAGCTGCCATTACAGCGAGGGGGGCCTGTGAGACCAAGTGCTGGCAAATAAAACATAAAGGAAGTGCTTGTGTGGCTTTCGGGTAATCAGGTTAAGACATGCTTTGTCCCCGCTTCCCTGGCCTCCATCCTGCTGTCTGGAATGAGGAGGCGGTGGTGTGTCAGGGCTAAGCTACGGCCTCTGAGCTCCAGGTCCACACTGCAGGTCTCTGAGGTGACACTGGGCTGGGACCCCGCCGCTTACACGCCTCCTTTATCAGCTGCTTCCGTCACGGGAAGGAGGCTGGAAGGCAGGAGGAAGGTGGTGTTTGCTTGCTGCTCCTGTTCCCATGAGGCCGTAGCAGCACGTCTGTTCCAGCCCTCACCTCGAGGGGCAACCCCAGCACCAGCCTCGGGGTCCCCTCTCAGGGTCCAGCTCAGAGGTCGGGGTCCCAGCAATGGCCAAGCAGGGCCCTCTCCGTGGAGGTCAGGGTCCCAACTCTGTGGCCCCTCCTTTCAGCTTCCAGGTTCTGATCACCCTACTCTTCCCCTGGCCCTCCAGCCCCAGAAGCCTGCTTTAATCACCTGTGTTCGCTTTCTGCTTTTTCGGTTCTCCACCCACTGCTCACCCAACCCCTGTACTGAATTCTCTAGGTCTGCTGAAACACCTAGTGTTGTTTCCATTTTCTCACAGGGTCCTGACCGGTGCATGTGGCCATACCTTTAGCAGCTTCTTAGATTATGAGATTAAGAGTGAGTGACATCCTAGGAACAGCAGAGCCTACAGCCCCATCAGGCCCCTGGAACGGCCACACTTGCCCTGACTGGCCACTTCCAGCCTCTTTAACACAGGAGGGAAATAAATCCCCACGTTGTTTAAGCCTGGGGCCCTCTGTTACAAGCAGCTAAACCCAGCCCTCCCCGATACGGCTTGTCACCACAACCACTTACTCCTGCTCTTCCCGTCTGGAAACTCCTCATTCCTCCCTGCTATCTAAAAACTGCCTACCGTTTAAGGCCAAGTTCAAAGTCCAACCTCCTCGAGAAGCTTTCGCTGACTTCCCAGCTGGCTCCTTGAAGGCAGGGGTAATGTCTAATTTCAATTCTCAAGGCCCAGTGGCCCCAAATGGTGGAAGCTCGATAAAGACTTACCCTTGTCCCACTGAGTCTCCCTCTCCGAACTCCTCCCTGCTCCGTTTGAGAACTCACTGTCTCTCACTGGTCTCCAACAGGTTCGGTGCATTAGTCTTGGCTAATTAATTAGACTGTTAGCTTCTCAGAGGACAGCTCCATCCTCCCGGCAGAGGGCATCATGCTAAGAGAAACCATAGGCTTCAGAGACCGGGAACCAGGGATTTAAATCCCAGTTTTGCACTTTAATTGGCTGTGGAATCCTGGGCACGTGGCTAAACCTGTCTGAACCTCAAAAATTCACTCCTCTGTAAAAGAGCCATACTTCACTTAGTCATGGTAAGAGCTTACAGTCATGGCGCCCTTGGGCTGCAATGTTGTGTCCCCGAAGAGGCTTAGAGCATGTCATCCTCCTGACAATCTCCAGGGCAGATGCTGGTACTGCCTCCATTTCATGGAGAAGGGAACTGGCTGAGCCAGGACTGAAACACAGGTGTCTGGCTCCAGAGTGTTTGCTTTTAACTCTGATGCTGAGAGAGACGAGACAAAGCATGAGGGCACCAAGTGCCACCTGAACACACAGCAGGTGCTGTGGCCACTGCCCAGTCGACTGCAACAGCCTGACATCAGGACTGGTCTGTACTGACCTGCACCAAACACATGTCTTTGCTCCCATGGCCGCTGTAACCATCACAAACTCAGTGGCTTAAAACAACACAAATTTAACATCTTGCAGTTCTGGAGTTCAGATGCCTGAAAATAGGTCTCATGGGGCTAAAATCAAGGTGTCAGCAGGGCTGCATGTGAAACGGACATACCGCATTCCAGGAAACACATATGAAATAACTAAAACAGATTTGGACTGAGCTAATGAATTTCAAACAGGGGGTCTACGGGGTGGGGATGAGGAATCAGTGTTTACTGGACACAGAGGTTCAGTTTAGGAAGATGACATTTTTGAGATGAATGGTGGTGACCTTTGAACAACAATGTGACGTACTTAATGCCACTAAATTGTGTACTTAAAAATGGTAAAGATAGTAAATTCTACACCATGTATATTTTACCACAATTTTAAAAAAAGGTATGAAGTCCTGATGCATGCTACATCATGAATGAGCCTTAAAAACGTGCTCAGTGAAAGAAGCCAGTCACAAAACACAGATATTATAGGATTCCATTCACATGAAATGGCCAGAACAAAGACATCTATAGAGACAGGGATTAGATGGCTGGGTGCCTAGGGCCGGGGCGGACAGGGGCTGGAGGGGCAGGGCTTCCTTCTGAGGTGATGAAAATGTTCCAGAATTGATTGTGGTGATGGGTGTACACACCTGTGGCTATATTAAAAACCATACATTAAAAACCACTGAATCCCATTAATTTAAATGGGTGCACTGTATGATGTGTGAACGATATCTCAATAGAGGTGTTTTATAAAAAGAAAAAAATGACTTTTTTCCCCATGTAATGAAACTTGAATATGCTCTACAGAAACATTTCACAGATGTAAATATAAGTCATTTTTTACAATATGTTTTCAATAGCTTATTTAAAAGAAGAGCAATCACAGTACCTGGGAACGTCTGCAAGAATAAGGACCTATATCCCCGAAGGCAGAGGAGTGGTCTGGCCAGTTAAGGAAGGACAGGAAGGCTCAGGTTCTCCCTGAAGGGAGCGCACATACAGGAGGGCCCAGGGAGCCGTGACCTTTCTTCTCTTTCTCCCGGGGTGCCTCAGGTGCACAGCTTATCAGAACTGCCCTGCCACGTCCAGTCACAGCCAGCACGGCTCCTGGCTTCCAAGCAACAGGACAGACATTACATCAGTTAGGAGCCCTTGTTTTCCTTCCTGTCACATACTCTTGAAAGCTCAGGCCTCGGCGAGAGCAAACAGATGAACCACTGTTCTGAGCTGTGTAATTCGACTCAAAGTTTATCCCCAGACTCCGAAAGAAGGAAGGAAGGCCAGCTTGGCCAGAAGCAAGCACACACCCTGGAAATCCTTCATCCTTGTGTTATCTGCAGCCTCTTGCTCAACAGGCTCTAATGGGAGGAAGTAAATCATTGATTATTTTTTAGGGACAATCAAAATATATGAAACAAGGTCATGGTCACAGATGACCCCAAATGGGAGAAACAGTCACCAGCAAGATAAAAGCCAGTCACCAGCAAGTGAAATAACACGACCAGGAAGAAGACATGCTGGGACAGCAGGCCACAGAAACGACAGCAAGCATCCAACAGCCCAATTTCCCGTACATGGGTCATGGGTATCTCCCAAGTAAAACCCCAGGAATGCTTAAGGATTCCAGGAAAGTCTGAAACTTCAACCTTTTGATCATGTGGCAGAACAGCTTCGTAATAAACATACATGTCATCATTAAATTTAGGCAGCATGAGATAGTCAAGTAAGTAAGATATCAAATAAAAGGAAAATAACTCATTTATTTCATACTCAGCACATGTAATAAGCAAGCCTCGGCAGGTAGGGGCTGAACCACGCAGAAGTCACGGCTGGTGGGAATCCTAACCTGCGCCCTGGGGACCTGTCGAGAGCGCATCCCTAAACCCCACCCACAGGTCTCTCAAAGGATCCCGAAGGGATAACAAGCAGAGGAAAGAGCTGCTT